CCGGCAACCTGTTTTTCACGGCCAAGGATAAGTTCAGCGTTCCGGAGCATGTCCGCACTCAGAAGATGTCCAAATTTGCGAAGAAATTCCTGGTTTGGCAAGCCATCTGCACGTGCGGAAAGCGGAGTGCACCTTTCGTGACCCAGGACACGATGAACGGACAGGTGTACATAAAAGAGTGCCTCCAGAAGCGGCTGCTTCCTCTCCTGAAGGCCCACAACGTCCCAACAATCTTCTGGCCGGATTTGGCCTCATGCCACTACTCCAAGGACGTGCTGAAGTGGTATGCGGACAATAAGGTCAATTTCGTGCCGAAAATGTTCAACCCTCCCAACACTCCGGAGCTCCGCCCCATCGAGAAGTACTGGGCGATTATGAAGCAGCACCTTCTTAAACGACCTAAGGTAGTGAAGACAGTCGAGGAACTGAAGAAAGTATGGGTTTACATGCAAAAAACGGTTGATTCACAGGTTGTGCAGAATCTTATGGCCGGGGTTAAGGCCAAGGTGCGGGCATTTGCGTATGGACTGTAAATAAAATACAAGTAAAATGGTAAAATGAAGTTTAATAGTTATTTCTCAATCCCTGAAAATTTGATGGCAATCGGATGAAAACTCGAATTTTGCTAATCAATTTTGTGTGTGGCAATTTCATCGTGGACACCCTTTAAGAGATCATTTATGGATACATTCATTTTAGGGCAAATACTGAAACGTCATCAGAAGAGTAGCGAGAACTACAGGGAAAGTCCAAAAACTTAAGGGATGATAATTTGATCAGTGTGAAGATCCTCAACAAGCTTAAGAAAAAGGATGTACTAATGTCCACAACAGGTACAACAAAACATCACATAGACGCCCTTATTCGTACTATCTATTTTATGGTAAAAGAGAAAGAAGAGCCATCGCAGCCAATTGAACCTTGAACTGGGTACCTGGAAAATCTAAAATACCCGCGGCAATAGCCAGCAAACGATGCGCTGTCGTATTTAGTTGTCCAATTGTTGCATTAATAAATGCATTTCGTGTTAATTACTGCTTATAAAATGGATGGATCTCACCAAATTTTTAGCCGGCTGACCCAAATTGTTATAAGCAGTGGCGTCTCGCCCATATGTGCACCTCGTGCACTGCACAGTCTCAAATTTTCAAAGAGTAAAATTTATATTTCATAAAAATTAAGAGACAAAAATTTAATACTCAATTAAAACCATTTTTGTCCGCCCTATTTATTGGTTTCATATGGATAGTAACTGAATTATCCACCACATCACTGGATAGTAGCTGAATTGTTTACCACATCGCTGCTCAACCTCCGTTTTACCCACCACTGAAAGGAATGTACGTAAAACAGAAGCGAGGCATAGCGATCTTGTTTTCACGCACGGGCACGCTGGGATTTTACCACGTGCAGACAACACTCTTTTTGGGCTTCTATGGCGAATGAGCGACACAAAACAAGCAAGAAAAATATGCCTTCGTTCTACCAAAGCCACCGCATGCTAAGTTCTCCCATTCTGAGCACTTATGCTTGTGCACCAGAAACGCTCGTATTTACAACCAGATCAGTTGTATATGTATTGAAGTCCCGTAAGCATAATTGCCGCTGTGTTAGTGTTTATTTTGTGCACTTCTATCTTTGCACAGTTTAAAGAGAAGAGAATAAATTGGCACGTATAGGCTACGTCGCATTTGAGTTTCTCTCTGAATTGATTGAATCTTGGAGAGCCGTAATTCGTTGTATACCTACCTACACGCACACATCGAATTTTTAAATTTTTAAATTTTCTCACTACCATGTCTGCATTTCATTCAGTAGCCTCAGAGCATTGATGGAATATTGTTCATAGCATAGTGCAAAATTAAATAGGAATCATGGAATAGGATATTGTTGATGACCTCCTGAAAAGACCGTTTGCCAGAAGGTGAGTAACGATGACAAATATCATAAACATGAGACTTAAAAAGAAAATCAATGTTTCTATGCAAGAGTTAGCAAAACTGGTATCAGAACTGTTTCCCATCATCATTTCGTTTATTTTTTATGCAGGTAGGGTAGAGAACTACTTCGGCCTAATCGCCAATTTTGGGCCTAACGAGCAGAAAACTTCAAATAACTCCATGATTTCAGAGTTAACAAGTCAATTATGCGTTTGGAACGATACTTTAGTTAATAAGCTACCGAACGAAGTCAATGAGAACGCGTGGTATGAAAGTTTGCACCCATTATTCCCAAAAACAAAAGAAGCGCTCCGACCGAATCCATTTTTATCTTCATCCGATAGGCCGAAGTGAATTCATTGGCGTTTCAATTGCGTTTCAATGCGTTAGGCCGAGTTTAAAATCCGTAGGCCGAGTTTGGCGTCAAGAAGCAGTGTTGGACTTTTGACAATATCTCAACGATTGGTTTCTCGTTTTCAAATCTTATGGTACGTACGGAAAGGTAAATAAATTTGGAAGCCATCAGTGATAATAACACTCCGTTTGCTGCTAAGCTGATCTATATTAAGAAAGACTAAGTGCGGGTTGTGCTTAATAGGCCGGAAATGGGGTATTTAACCCTACCCCCGTCGAAAGATTTGTATCCCATTTTTTTTATTATGCATCAAAATTGGCTTCTACTGTTACAGATAAAATATAAATAAAATAGGTGCACAACTAGTGAATTTTCTCACGTGACGCCACTGGTTATAAGTACAATAAAATCTCAAGCAGCGGTAAGCTGAGACTATTTTCAGCTGCCCAACAAGATAAATCCTAAGTCCTTTTATAGAAAACAAAAAGTCACTGCACTTTAACTTTATTTTTCGACCCTGAACTTCTCTGAAGTTCCCTTAATGTTCTGGAATGTTTACTACTTTCTCTAAGGTCCGTCTCCGAAAATTCTGCCTGAAGTTCCTTAAAATTTCTGAATTTCTCCCAAGCATCACTGAGTCCTTATGATATACCCTAAACTACAATAATATTCCCTGTGTTTCATTGAATTACGCTGAATATCTTTGAAATCTTCTTTGAATCTCATAATTGCTGTGTAAAACACTGATGCGTTCCAAAAAACTCAAAAACTCAATCTCAAGCTTGAGAGTTTTTTCTTGTGAAGTTCAACTGAGAGCTATGGTTAACCACTACGACGGGGCTGTCCTCTAACCGTGAGATTTGTTTTACAGATTTGGAAATGAGATTAGCTTCTCCGGAGAGCTCAATGAATGAGAATTGAGAATGATTTTCTGAACATAGCTTCTCAAAAAAAACAAAATGCTGAGAGAATATGGGAGCTAATTAAAAGATGTGATGCTGAAAGGATCGACGAACTATAGATAGGTTTAGCGATTTTCGAGGATATTAAGTGTTTAAAAGAGAGCTTCAGAGATGTCTAACTAGCTCCGGACGAATACTTCTCAATTGTTTCTCAGGGAACTGATAAGTGCGTGGAGGTGGAGCAGTTGTAGAACTTTCACAGTTTTGAAGGTTCCAAATAGGGGAAATGGCTCTAATGTTGGCCTATGGATCTAAGATTGAGCCCATCGCTAAAAATCTGCTATTTATCAATTTTATCTAGATGTACGCGTCATTGGGACGGTACTTATGGATATTTTTAGTCGCTATTGAAAATTTAGTCGATTGCTGAATTTATGTATGGGCCCAAATTAGGGGCATTTAGGCCGACATTACATCCATTTCCCCTACTCGAATACTATCTGAGAATTATGGAAACGTTCTGAAAATGGACCTTCGATAAATTCGAGCCGTATTCTGAAAAGCAGTCCATCTGTCGACTACTGTTTGTTGACTTGAATAGTGAAATCAACAAAGCCACAAATTCAATATCGACAACAAACCTCTGTCTGCATGCTTATCAGTCCGCCGAGAAGTTATCGATGTCGGAATCTTTCCTCACAACAATCCGACGACTGCAGAAGTTCGGTATTTCTTTAACGACCGGAAGTATCCGTTATAACGAAAACCCATCATTATAACAAGAGTCTGCCATGTCGCACGCGATTCAATTTTCAAAACCTACATAAACAAACAAACAGAAACCCAGCCCATTAGCCCGGGTGGCAATAACTTGCTCGATTGATTTTTAGTAACCTTTCACTCAATTGACGGTGCTGCTCGTTAAAAGTGTCATCTACCCTTTTTTTTTTATTTGACTGTCGTCGGCGAATCAATCTTTCTGTAAACGACACCATGAAACCAAGTTCGAGCGCGAGTTGCGATGCTAGTAGAGATGGGATAGAGAGAGTCCATTTTATAGCCATAGTTCTGCGAGCTGTCTTTTTACGGCTTGATGTGTTGTTACAACCAATAAAATACACGGAACAAGTGTCCTTCCTCATTGGATCGAATTTTCGCTCTCAGAGGAGACCTCCGACGACTGACTGTCTAAATGCCGTCGGAATGGCCCAAATTGTTTCATATATCTTTGTCATACGTGAAATGTCTGTTTCGATCCATTTTGGTTTGCAGCGTCGCGTCGCTGCTGGGGAGAAGACCGATCCTCCACTGTATTGGTTTTTATAGGCGATAAATGATGAGATAATCAGCTAAATCCATTCCGGTTGGCTATTATTGAACTAAAATGTTAAACCAACATGGCATCGAATGGCTCTCTCTAGCTATGTCTCTCATGCTTTCGGAGTCGTTGAATTTTTAACGCGAGAAATTCCAACCAAAAAAAGGCAAAGGTTTGAACTCCGCGTTTGTGTTTGTTTATGCAAAACGTAATGTACGCACGTGTATTCGGTGAACTAGTTTCATGCCAGCCGACGAAGAAGCATGCGGCAACCATTTGCGTCATCGTTTATTTCCCCGAATCATCGTACAACGGTCAGCGCAAGTACATTCCACGTCGTCTTCGTGGGAATAAAAAAAAACTATCAGTTTGACGCTCATGGCTGCATGAAGACACCGGAATGGCTCATTGATGTTTGCAACGATGGCATGTTAAGTATGATATGTCTAAACAGGTAGAAAATGTGCAACTTCAACTACACTTACCGAAAGTAGGTCTTGGTGGGTCGCCCTCCGATTCCTCGCCACGCTGCAACGACAGCAACGTCCGCAGCCACCGGTTCAGCTCCTCTTCACTATCGAACACAATGCAAAAGCAATCATCCTTGGTATACAACGCAATCACATGCTTCTTGATGTCGTGCCGCTTGTTAATGTTGAAACAACTTCGCAACACTATGCTACGTTTGGCCTGCACCGAACTGCTCTTCAGCCAGGACTGCTTAAATTTCTTCTCACTGTCAAAGTACTCCAATCGGGCGTTCTTCTCCGGCGTATCGCCGTACACTACAAAGTATTTCTTCTTGTTGGTTTTCAGCTTCCGATGGTACCCATGGAGGACCACATTCAACTCGGCGGGAATAGCACTGGACAGAGAGCCACTGGTTCCAGCAGCGGCAGCCGCCGACAAAAGTGACGAGCCACCTGCTGCCGAGGCGCCACCCGAATTGGCCGGCAGCCCTCCGGAACCACCACCACCGTTCGACGAGGAGGACATACTGCGGGCAAACAATCTGCTGACACCGGAAGCAAGTGCGCTGTGGTGGTGGTGGTGGTGGTGGTGGTGGGGTTGATGCACCGCTGCGGTCGGAGTACCCGGATTGTTGTTATTGATGGCGTTCGGGTTGTTGTTGTTGTTGATGGTTGTGAGTTGTGAGGATGCGTTGATGACAAGGTTGTTGTTATTATTGTTGTTGTTGTTGTTGTTGTTGTTTGCGTTACTAGTAAGTGTGGACATCGCGGCGGCAATTTTCCGCCACGGTGGCCCATGAGAACTAGTTGATTGTGACCGAGAGGGTGGCTTTTCCGGAGACGTTTTGATGGTCTGAAAGGAGAAAAAAAGGGAACAATTCAATTGAGAATGCAAGTGCTAAAAAACAAACAGTACTAAAATGTTGAACAAAGTACTATAATTTTCTTAAAAAACTCATAATTTTGCGAATAATCTGTTTTTTTTTATATATATTTTTTTTAATGTAGAAACTGTATTTTAAAATCTTATTTTTTTTAAATGTAATTTCTTATAATTTTCTACTATTCACTATTAGACCAAATCTTTGTAGGTCTTAGCATTTTTGACAAGATTTTATTCAAGAAAATCATTGCATAGTTGCTATAGCAGACAAAAACTTACCGCTTCAAAGTTTCATTGGAATCTGACGGGATGCTGCTAACCTCTGCAAGTCGAGTTAGCGTGAAATTCGTCTTTAGAATCAAATTGGAATTATCCTTAAAATTTCCTTGGAATTTACCCCATAATTACTGAGGAACTATCATCAGAATGTATGTATCTCGGAATTTCCTTAAACCCTCAATTAAAGTTTATTGAAATTAAATAAACATCATTCATTCACCTTTTACGCAAAGTCGCGAGTTCAAATCGCATCCCCGGACAAGTCACGAATGATCCAAGACAATAAAACATAATAATAATTTTTATTATAAAGTATATTTGTTGGAATTTGACCTGGAATCTTCCTCTCAAACATCAAGCATATCCTACTCAGAACTCTCCTTAAATTTCACTTGGTTCACCTTGTAATTCCAGTCAAAATTTTCTTGAGCAAATCCAAGTCAAAACAAATAGCGAAAAAAAAGCGAATTTCATATTTTACCTCAAAATTCAATGAAATTTCACGTAATTGTTCACTAAGGGCTATGAAGCAAGTTTGTGCTGGAATTCGGCCATTTTGACTCTCGTTTAATTTTCCAAAATTGCGTATTCGATATTTTTCAAAAATAATAGCACGAAAACGGCTGATCTAATCAAAATGTGGTCTGAGATAAAGTTGTAGAAAACAGAAAAAAAGACAAACATTTTCGGTAAAGAAATAAAAAAAGCAGTTAAAACGGGAAAATGGCTCAGGAACGTTATACCGCCAACAACGTGCAAGTCGTAGCCAAGGACAAAAACCCTCCAAACTCGCCCAAAATATTGGGCAATCGTTGAGCGGAACCTCAAGAAAACTCAGAAAACATGAAAATGAGAAACATGTCAAAGCAAATTGACGATCCGCATAAAATAAGGTTGATACAACAGCGGTACAAAATTTGATGGAAGGTGTGAAACGTAAAGCCCGACAGTTCGCATTTGGAAAATCGGAAGCCTAATAAAATAATGTTCCTGTATTTTGTAGTCATTGAATTTCAAAAAGAAATAAAGTTCGATCATTTATACAATAACATAACCAGTGTTCCGGCACGAATGCCACAAATATGGTAAAGTGTCGGTTATTAAATAATAATAATAATCAGTGTGCACTTAATCAGGATTGACCAATTGTTAACCGTTCCACCCTTTATTACTCTTTAGCTTGGCCCATACTTGAGAATGCATCTGTGGTCTGGTCTCCATACTAGTTAGTGTAGATTCTTCGAATAGAACGTGTTCAGAAAAAAAAAATATTTGAGGATGGTTTTGTGCAACCTGCCTTGGCGCGATCCAATGAATTTACCACCTTATGCAGACCGATGTATGCTACTGGACCTGGTGCTACATATAGCGAAACTTTTAATTGGTGATGTAGACTGTCCTCAATTGCATTCTTAGTTAAACGTCCGTGTTCCTTAAAGGATGTTGCGGCAATCATCTCTACTACAACCAAGGTTTCATCGGACTGCAAATGGGTCATTCCAGTTCGAGTGGTCAATGTCACCGATTTGAGCCAAACTTGGCCAAAACACTTTTTTTGGTATTCTGAATAAACGTCTTTTTTTTTATTTTGCTCTAAAGTTCTTAGATCCCGAAATTTTCGAGATTTTTAAATTCAACTTTCAGAAGAGATTACCAAATAAGCCTAAAGATGTATGTATATTAAAACTCAAACATAAGAAGACGAACATGACAGTTACGTTCATGAATTAAAAGTGTGTTTTAAAAAAATTAAAAATAAGGTTCTAAACGTTTTTCTTTATAACTTTAATAAAAAAAGCATTTTTGCTGGTGAGATTGTATCTAAAAAATAAATTAAAGGGTATTATTCAAGTAGCAGATGTCATCCACAACTTAAATTTTATATATATGTACCTGCTAATCTATCCGATTTCATCGTACTTCTAAAGCACAACGTTTTGCCTGTATCCTATATGAACGTAGTTTGCCCCTTTTAGGACCGCAGTTAAATTAAGGACAGAAGTAAATAAATGAGCTAGTTATGATTTCATATAGTAAGAGTCCTGCCCAGAACATGTGAACACAAACATAAAAATATTATTGTGCCATCGGCGTGAAGGAATTCAAGAAAAAAAAAATTAAATAGCATTGATTTTCCACCAGAAAAGCTCAAAAACTACTACTCACTTATATGGTCATATCTCAAAAAATAATTTTTCAAATCATTTGCCCTTGGAAACACATCTAGTAGAAGATATTTTCAAGGTGTGGTGAAAATTTGAGCCCAAAATATTAAGAAATAAAAAATCCCGCCTATGGTGAAAATATGCCATTTTTTTACCATTTGGATACCTTCCGGTAATCAGTCTGTTTACTGTAGTTAATATAAGAAAAACAAAATGTGGGTACACCTATGAGAATTAACATTTAAAAACCTTCAATTTGACGATCTAAGATTACGAATAGCTTATTTGGTTGTGGAGTAATCTCTTCTGAAAGTTGAAAGTTTTTTTAAAAATCCAGGGTTTTAGTCCATAAGGATGTAGGCACTTTAGAGTAAAATCAAAAAAGGCGTTTGTTCAGAGTGCTAAAATATACATTCTGGCCAAGTTTGGCTCAAATCGGTGACATCGACCACAACTTTTCAACCCATATGGGTACCATGAGCCAATGTCTGCGATGACTGGGGCAGTGTCCGCTGTGGAATCAGCATTTGAATTCGGTGAAACATCGAACCAATTTCGGAAACGATTGAGAAGATTGTGATTATTTGTGAACTCTGTTTATCTGTATTTTTTTATATATTACTTAAGTTTTATTTATTAAGGCAAACCAGTGCACAGTGCACAGTGGTACAGAATGCAGATTTAGGTGGAATGATATGTTTTGAGCCTGAAAGTCTCTGCTACAAAGTTGTTCCTTATGGTTAGGCCCTCATTTTTATGATAATGAATTCTAGGGTGGTTCCTATTATCATTTAAATCAAAAATCTAACTTTTTTGTTTGAATAAATTAAGGTATACATTCTTCGGCAAAGTTATAGCTGAGCTAATTTCAAGCAACTTTGTTGAATAGACCTTTTTTGTATCTCTTAAATTGGCCGATTTAGAGCTATTTTCTTGAATTGAGTTAGGGTGACTCTTAAAAAAACAGTTTTTTTGCTCTATTTTTCTTATTTCGAATTTCTCAGCAAAAGTGTCTTCAGATAACTTTTACATCTTAAGAAGGCGCAAATTTTTGCTACACAAAGCTTGTCAATATCTTTCGCCGATCAAGAGTTATTGACGTTTGTATACTAAAAATATACACTTTTCAAATGTTAATATGACAATGAATTCTAGGGTGGTTCTTATTATCACTAAAATAAAAAAAAATCTAACTTTTTAACTTTTTTGTTTGAATACATTAAGGTATACATTCTCAGGCAAAATTATAACTGAGTTAATTTCAAGCAACTTTGTAGAAAAGAACTTTTTTGTATCTTTAAAATTGCACAAAGCTTGTCAATATCTTTCACCGATCAAGAGTTATTGACGTTTTTCTACTAAAAAGTGTGACCTTTTCAAATGTTAATATCTCTGGTAAAGGCAAACAAAAAAAAAAAAAATTACGGCATTCGAAAGGGCGTATGTTATTCTCAATAATATGAAAAAAAAAAACAGAAATATGTTATTTTTTAAAACTCGTATACAATAAATTTGAATTTATTCATATTTTTTACAATATTTGGGTACATATTTTTTATTAGAAGAGATACAGACCACAACACTAGCCATAAAATATGCGTTTTTAAGAGCTTTAAAAGTCTCTAGAAGTTTATTTTCAAGAGAAATTTGAAATAAAGAAGTTATCGGCAAAAGAGCGGCGCCGGTGCTGTAGTTGTAAGCATGATTACCTCTCACCCCAGCAGGCCTGAGTTCGATCTCAGTCGGCGCCGCCGGGATGTTCTGATGCATAACATCTCTGATAATGTAGTAGAGAATTGGTTCTGGTTCATAAGTTTATGGGTCGATATGTAGGGTCCAGGTGTGGGAGCTGCCTCCCTGGCGTCGGTAGCATTGATGCTCAGCATGAAAACCACGATGGACGGAAAACAAATCAAGGGAAAAAATAGGGCCACTCTAATGACAAATTTAAATAAAATGTGCTAGTACATTTGTCTCATTATTTGGACATTTAGGGTCTTGTTGAAATTCTGAGCTTAAAAGAGTTTGCTGAACCAGTTTTATGCAAGAAAGAGTGAAGGGATGTTGTTTCTCCATACATTTCGACCAAAATCCCCATATAAACTTTAAGCCAAAATCGCCAGCTCGTGTTACATCCGAATGTGCTGAAATTTTCAGAGAGTGATTTTTTCACCTAATGTCACAAATCTGGGGGTTGCCCCGTTGAAAAAAATGATTAAAAATTCTCCCATATAAATGTTCGAACTCATCGTCAATGTCAATTGAGTCACTCACTATCATTTGATATGCGGCAGTGGAGTATGGAAGAAACCCAGCATAATGGTCCCGAACAGACATTTCGACCCAGTGTTCACTCGGCTGTCGACAAAAGCAGGCCACTCTCGATGTGTGCTACGCGATCGTCTGTTTACTCGGCAGCAACCATTGTGTGGTCCTCCTCATTGTTCTTCATCAGCAGTTCTTTCGGTCGATGCGTCGTCGACTTTGGAAAGCAACCGTTTTGTGATGAGTGTGTGAGTGCTGACC